GATAAGCAATTACTTTTAGGTTTGGGCAAATTAAAAACAGAATCCTTGCAGTCCCTTCCTTCCACGTTGTAAGTATACATTATCTAGTTTTTTACTAGAATCTCTTGCCTTAGTGCTTAGTCCATAACTTTACATCCATGTAGTCAGTGAAATGATGTGTTTCAAGGTTTTCGACAATAAGGTCGGGCGGGTAAGCAATGCAAAATTCAATCATTCAAACTGTGAACGTTCTGCGATGTTTGGAACTGGGTGACAGGGCCACGGCTTAATAAACGCTGACACGTCTAGAATAATTATTATTATAATGCCAATATGGAACATGGTTGCTTGTTCTGAAGACCCATTGCTTTGATAGATGAATAGTTTGGGGCAAATGAACGAAATCACGACGTTATCGGTGAGCCACGACCTCGGTTTCAGACTGTCAAAGTTGTAATCGCCGAGAATGTATGGGACAATACGATGAGACATCTCCATTCGCTGTCGACTAATTGTGTACTTCAGCTTGTTGCGTCGGCTTCCTTTCATTCTCTGGGTTAGAGGAAGCTGATTAATCGAGATCTAGTACGAGATGCGATCAATAGCATCTACGAGTTTAGATGCTAGTGTAGAACCACTTGGTTCATCTCTCTCGATGAACACAACTTTTGCAAATCCTTCTCCCATTACCATTTGCGGTGTAGATTTTTTATCGTGTGGTGAGATCAGGCGATGTTTACTTTTTTCGGAATAGGTCGTATTTGTCGTATACTCTGCTTAATCCCTTAACTTTCTATTCTTTCCACATCCTCATTCACGAACAAGTTAGATGCTAAAAATCGCTTCAAAAGTACAGATTTGTCGCAAGGGGGGATACAAGAGTAAGTAAATTTTGATGCTGGAAATTATCCCCGCACACTCCCCCGGCGAGAATTCAATACCTTTTCCGGGCCTCAGGTGTGAGACTTACTCGCCGGTGACGTTTATGTCCGCTGAGCTTTACCTCGGACATTTACGTGAGCTTTAGACGATGGGTTGCATGTTATTAGACAGCATTGCTCAATACCGTCATCACTTTGATTTTCTTCCCGTGCGAAGCGTGCTACTGGGTAGATTAGCATTTGAACTTGAGTGCTTGGAGACATGAGCGCCGTTAGCCAACAACCACTGCTCCAGAGTTTAGTCTTAACGGCATCTACAGACTACACCTCAGCATATGTCTTCATCCACACTTGCCCCGACTCTCCACACAAACAAACTTTTCCGGGCCTAACCTAACCTGATTGGCTGCAGCAAGATGGAGAGGCGGGCAAGTGTGGAGGTAGATGCATGCTGGGGTGTAGACGGCGTGAAGACTATCATGGCTGGGGCAGTGGCTGCCGGCACACAACGCCTTTGGTTTCAAGCAGTAGTTTTCCTACAGCGATTCATTTCCATCCTCCCTATGAAAATCTGGTATATATATATACCAGAACCTGCCATGTTTCTGGTATCTACCAGAAAAAAATGACAGATAGATATAACTTCTAGAACTTTAGATTTAGAACCTGGAAATTCGAGAATAGAGTTAGGAGTTCTATCAACTGTAAAAACATAAAGGGGTTAGGTCAAGTCTGCTATAGGAAACGTGCATTAAAAATGAACTTCGTGGTCATCGAGGAGGTAAAAAAAGACCCTTCGTGGAACCTGGCAGAAACCTTTCACTTATGACTAGAATACCAACTCCGGGCCATCTAGGAGGTACCCAGCGAACTTTGAGGTAACCGTAGAGGGTGCTCCCCTTGACCTATTCAACGGGCCCATAATGGATTTTACGCTCAAAATTCTGGTATTTTGTCTAACGACCAAAATTTTCTCAGAATACAAAATTAGTCGCTGTAACGAAAGATTGAATTTGGGGCACCATAAAAACAGCAGTGAATAGGTTCCAACGAGAACAAATGTAAATGCCGGTCGTAATTTCAACGCATTTCAAAAAATAAATCGTTCATAGATCTCTGACGCGGGGAAGGACACGTCAAAGGACGTAGATGTGTCGGAGTTTGCAGAAAGAGACGCCGCATTCCTCGTTGTTGCCACGCTTCGGGAGCGCAGCCGTGCACCACCAATTTTGTGCACCAATAAGCCCTGAATTGAACGCCTTTGATCTCTCCGGACCTACACCAATCAGCCGTGCACCACTCGACTGCTTGGTGTCCTCTTCCGGCCTTGACCACCTGCCGTGCACCACCAGGCGGTGGATCGAATATGACTTCCAGGCATCGTTAAATTACGTAATTTTACGTTCACCGCATCTGAGGTTAGGTTTCAGATAGCATAGTTTGAAGTGTTGAAGGCTACGTTCCGGAAGGCAGGAATCATGATGGTCCATTACATCCAGGGCAGTGGTGGTCTTCGGCAGGCGACCCCCACGCTTTGATGTCTTCAAGGACACATCGACTGCTGCAGAAGAGCTCTCATCGTATTATGAGAAGAATCACACTTGAACGGATTAAATGTCGGAGCTTATACGGACGTCAGTGGCTGATGAGCACGATTCCTCGTTGCTGCCACGCTTCGATGTTTCCAAGGGCAGATCGATTGCTAGAGAAGAGCTCGCCTCTGATGATGGGAAAAACACGTCAACAGACGAGGTGTCGGAGCCTATCCAAGGTACCTACCGTGTAACTGTTTTACGCCAACGGACTTAATATAGAATGTGCTCCTCTTCGATGAGAACGGGATTTTTTAACGATTGCATTGTAAGCGTCGTTAGTTCCAGAGATCTCCTTGCCGTCGTAATGCCGATGTAGACTATCAAAATACTGCGTACGTGACCTGCACAGTCTGGCGCGAGGGCGCCCACTGCTGCATCAATGCTGATGTCACAGGCACTCCATCATTCAGAAATTTACTCACCTCCAAGTATTTCGACTCTTGATCGTTTATGTGTTCATTATTGCAGAGTGGTTGACGGCATCGCGCGTTAGTTCTGCCCGAATGTATCCCTAATCTATTTGCTCGTAATGACTAATGAGCAAAGGTCTCATGATCCCTGCTTACTACAAATTTCGGTGTCGCTACGAGATTTTTGTGTTGGCGAAACTATAGTTCCCTAAAATAGCTTCGTCAAGCTAGAGGTTGTTGATATAGGTGGCGAACTAAATCACAGATAGGAGGTACCTCTTGATGGTATCAGGTCTCAGAGATCCCCTACCTTGGCCCCAAATGCCTACATGGCTGGGAACTGGAAAGCGTTCCTAAGTAAGCCTGTGTGAGCCATATCTGCTCTCTGATCATGTCCCAGTGAAGATATATGGGAGCGCAGCCGTGCACCAATAAGCCCTGAATCGAACGCCTTGGATCTCTCCGGACATCCACCAATCAGCCGTGAATGGAACCTGCTATCCGTAGCCGACCCTTGACATCATTCTGTTTTGAATATTTTAATCTTTACACCCCCAAACACAAGATCAAAAAGCCCGAGTCTAATGGCCATCCACCACTGAACGTTGTGTCGAAGCAACACTTCAGCCCTGGCCACCGCTCGAACTGGAACTTGCGCACGATGGTAGCACACCTCTGCCTGGTTTTCAATTTGTGTCATCGCGTAAGAGAGAGGAGGTACTGCGTTCGCCATTGCATCCAGAACTGTTCTGCTAAGAATTGGACGCATCGGTGTAACCGTTTTCCGCAGGCTAGAATAACCGAGGGGGTGGTTTCTAATGGAGGAGGGTTGGGTTCCGTGCGCAGAGTAAGCAATGTCGCGGGTGAAAAGGGGAACGGGTCGTTTGGGTTGTCTGATAGGAACCAAAGTGGCGTATTGTTGACGATCGACGCGGCTTCGGCCAGAATGGTACTGAACTCGTGTGAAGAGAATCCTCTGCAGTCTGCTTCTCATGAGTGCCAGCAATCCCTCCGAATCTAGACGTACGGAGCGTATTTTGGTCTTCAAGCTCCCTCCGTAATGGCTGGAGTGAGGCGGGTTCATTTTCCACACAATTCACTTTTTCTCGAAATCTTCTGATATGTTATGAAATTCGATGTCTTCCATTTGGTTTTTCGCTCCGATGAAACTCGTTCCTCTATCTGATCGTATCAGGCTACATGAGCCTCGCAGGGACATGAATCGTGAGAGAGCGTTCCGAAAACTGGAGGTGTCCGTGGCTGGTAGGAACTCCAGGTGTATTGCGCGTGACGGCAGGCAGACGACTATCAACACCCAAATCTTCTGGAAGCATTGTTTTGTCGAGTCCCGATGCCTCTCTGTGTGTAGAAAGGCCCGTATACATCGATTCCAACGTGTTGGAATGGAGGGGCGTTTTCCATACGATTGGAGGTAGATCTGACATTTATTGAGTCATTGTCTCCGCTCGTAGTTTGCGGCAGGTGATACAGTCGCGGACCATCTTTCGGATCAATTGGCGTCCGTGTTCGATGTAGAATCCAGCTAGCATCAATGTGCCGTGTGTGATGTGGCCTCCTTGATGCTGACGCAAAATTATGACATCATGGGTTATGGCCAACTACAATCGCAGGGCACCAAGTCTTCAAACGAATCCCTATACGTAACTTCGACATTGAAATTAAAGGCGAAACCTGGATCCAGGTCACCAATGAAGCCCGACCAACTGCGCCAAAGTTTATCAAGAGACGATGGACATCAAATTTGAAAATCAATTTTCTAATAAAATTCTACTACGCTTGAAAATATCCCAGGAAGTTCCCACACCAAAAATTAGGTAAAAGGAACATTGCTCTAAGAATCTCGCTTTTTAAAACAAATAGCAGACTTGTATGATGAGATCGCCATTTCCGCAATGAGAACTTGAAGTTTATATCGCGACGGTAGTCGAGAAGTTGTTACTCAGTTGTCAATGTAACTCATTCTGCACCCCTCACAATGATTTAAGCAATCACACTGTAGTGTTACCAGAATTTTGGTAAACACCAGTTGCATACCATAAGATAACGTGTCAATTTAACTTTAGTAGGCGTATGCAAGAAAAGGTAAATCTCAAAGATCCGCAAATGCAACTCACTTGCAAGTCAATTTGCAGGCTATTGGTGACAAAATCCTCGTTAATGTAACCACTGTCGTGGCTGTCTGCAATAATGAAATAGGAGCAAACAATAATACTAAATAGAAATTCGACATCGTAATTTATGATTAAAGCAACTGCCAAAAGCACAAGGAAGCGCCTGACAGTATAAAAAGATTCTGGCGGGGTACGAGTTGCTTCTGAGTTGATTTTTGGAGATCACAAGTTCAATGCTATCTTTTCTTAGTTGGTGCTCTAACAGTTCAAATCAATCATAATTCCACGACATTATAATCACGAACTAACCTGCATACGAAGCTCCTGAAGAACGTGTAGGGTTTCGACGTACAGCAGCACCACTAGGCCCAGCCACATCTGCCACAGAGCCGACCGATACGATAACGATAGGAGGGTTTTTTTTGCTCACGTTCGTATCAGCATCCGCGACAAGGTCAGGAGCAGGTCTTATATGAGCGGGAGTGCGTGCGGAGCTTGGTACTGCATGTGCAGGTACGAGCACAGAGCTTGCTGCTGCAGGGTCACGATCAGCCGCATCAACGGGAGCATCGATAGCTCCACCAATATCAGGGAAGTTTCATGGAAAGTGGTTTGAAGTTTAGTGATTCATCACCGGCCAATCTGTACATGTTACAACTATAGAACTAAGAAGATTATCGGTAATACATCTTCTCTCTAAAGTAAATAACAATCTGGCATCAGTTTCTAATTATTTTGTTTTAGTGTTTGAGTTTATACTTTTCCTTGGTACGATTTCATTTTTAACCAAGTCATGCGTAAGATAATCACTAAGATTACCTGATAGAGGCCGATACTCGTCAACATTCTGGTGCTCCTCCTCCAGTTCCTCTTTTGCTGCACGGAAAAAACTAAGAAGAAATTCAACAAAAAATCACAATTATTCGAGTTTTTGCACATTCAAGTTTTGTAACGAATCCACTTGGCAGTATAAACAGATTCTGGCCTCGATTAAGGACAAAAATAACCAGAAATATATATTTGAATACAAATACGCCTTTATCAAATTCACGCATTGCATCCATGATGCGAGTGTTGTTTGCGAGGTGTGCAGGTTTCCGCGTACGCCTGATTGGTCTCCCTGCAGTGGCGAGGATGAAATCGCTTGCCTGGGAGGCCTCTAGCTTCCGCAGCGCATCTGAGAAAATTGAAACAATCCACCATGATGTGAGCATAATATTTGCATAATTGCATATAAGGACAACTGTCTTGTACCTACTTTATTCAGTCAAAATAATCATTATGGAATTACTGACAGCAGATTACCGAGGAACGAGAGTGGGTTTGGATGTGGTGGAATGACGCGGGATAGCATTCGATGGAATGATTTCTCACAGTTGTTGGTCTGCCTCGGCTGACGGTAAAAACAGACTGGACCGCCGGCCCGACGGCACCCTGCCAAAACCGGCGAAGGTATCGCAGAAAGGCTGGAAACTGCGACAGTGGCAGCAGCGCCAGCGGCACGTTCTTGTTCGCCACAACCCCAGCCTCTACATCTCTTGCTGATGGAAAAGGCAAAGCCATAGCCATCTTCACTGTCATCGCCATCTTCACTGTGTCCAGTCTATTATCCAGCCTCAAGGCGCCAACCATTCCTAGCGACTGAACTTTACGCCAAATAGCCTGATGACCGGGGAGAGAATCAAATCAGTGCGCCTAATGAAACAAATTAAGATACTCGGTCAACACTTCAGTAACGGCGATCTTCACAGAAAATTGTGTACTAGATCATGAATTTCAGGCAAAGAATTGTCAACACCAAAACACATAAGTAAATTGACTGGCCAACAATAGCCACTCGACGACGAGTTGTAAGCGTCTCTCAAACTTGTGTAATCTTGTGCACCCAAGCTCCATAATCGTTCTTTACACATGCAATTTTATATTTCACAGGCTATCCATGTTACCTACTTCTTCTAAAGAATTATATACCTGTTACTTTCCATTAACTTATAATTTAATTTTGTTAATTACAACTTGGACCAGGCCTGATTATACTCACGCGGCGTGCACGCGTGTAGTGAGTGATTTGTTCCAGTTGAATCAACTTGTGACATCTTATTTACAACTTGTTCAAATATAAATTTTCAGTGAAACTCTTGAGTGCCAAACCTGAGCAAAGTAGAAAAGGCAAGCAGTAACTCTGGTCGCAGGGAAGACAGTCTGCACTGCTTGAACTAGTCCAAGATCATAGTCGGTAATGACCGTGTCGAGTGACAAACCCAGGCGGTCGCGACATACCCGCTGCACCGCGAAGTAGCTGACTGTAGTCCGTAGTCCGCCGCTGCATCAAGGCGAATACTATGGGAAAGGTCTAAAGTAAAAAAATTAATTACTTGAACATCAAACTAATTTTCTTAATATATATTTTAATACAAATACTTTAAAACGTCACATTGAGCACAGTATAGAAAGCTTCATATCAATTCAAACAGATGAGAAGTTACACTCCACGCTAACAATCAACGGGTGAGGACGATGATGAGTCCGAAACAAGTGATAGTGCCCTTCTCCTTGCTCGGTGATTCGCCTCCTGTGGCGCAAGGGGGACTCGCCCGGGACCAACAGCTGGTGGCCTCTGGAGCGGCAAAGGATCTACCAGGGGGGCGGTGGCCATGTGGGATCAAGCCGCAAGGGGAGATGCCCAATATCCCCCTGCTTACAAATGAGGAAGACGGTCCTAGTCGCCCCGGATCCCTCTTTAATCACTTTCAAGGCGAGGGCCCCTCGGGGGCCCGCATCAGTGCCTGCCGGACGGTGGAGAGCCGTTTGGATAGGCTGTCAGCGGCCCTCACGGCGATTGGACTCCGGTCCATTCACCCGCATCCCGGGCCGAGGAACTGGAGAGGACGGAGGGGAGTAGGAGAGAGGAGGGAAAGGCGCCACGAGGGTCGGAGGAGGAGGAGAGATGGAGAGAGAGAGAGGCTGAGGTGGTGAATGGAGGTGTGGATGAGAGACGAAGGAGTGAGAAAGTGATCGTGGAATGGGCAGAGATTGTCATTGAGAGAGCGTAATAGAAGGCGATTGAGTGAGGAAAGGGTGGAAGATTGTTTTGTTGAGTGGGATAAGTGCGGATGATGAGGGTGTGTTGTGGCTGGGAGAGGAAGTGGAAAAAGTGGTGGTGGGACATGCGAAGAAGTCGGCTGTGGTTTAGAGGGATGAGTCATTAGAGGTGTGGATGAGAGATGGACAGAAAAGATGGTTTCATGAGAGAGTGACTGCTGTGGTGTTGGGAGGGTTACGTTTGGTATCTGTTTGAACCTGAATTTCTCAATTTAATATGAAATGTATCAGTGTTTCATTACACCCTCTCTCTGTACTATATTTTGCCGAACCTGTCCAAAAAGAGAACCGTATATCATCGTGCCAAATCAAGTGCCACTCGGCAACCACCTGACAAAACGATAAGTAACGAATACCGGTATCTTGAACCTGAACCTGATCGTAACGTAAAATTGGTGGAGTAATCACTCCGAGTCTCCAACTATAAAATATATGAGACGATAAGAAACGTCTCTCTTTTATTAATATTTTTTAAAATCCCCTATTTAATCATGCCGTAAAAACTCGGTTACAGACTTGAGAATAAGCGGCTTTCAGAAAGCGGCGATGTCAGCGGTTGTAAAGGTGCTCAGGGTAGACGAGGTGAGCTTGGATATGAAACAATGGCTGTATTGTTCTACGCTGGCGAGGCAGTGCTCGTTGCCTTGCTAGCGACCTCGCTGACTCTAAAGCTCGCATTATTTAAGATTAAAATACTTTTACTATAGGTTTGTTTTTCTATTCGCGCTCTCTTTTACTGACTTCACTGAAAATTCAGTCATTCACTGACACGGATCATAAAAAATGCGAAAAGAGTTTTGTCGTCCAGTGGACGATATAGAACCTCAGGAAGTGACAAAAGTTACCATCAATTAAAGAATTTTTCATGATTTATAAATTGAAACCTGTGGCTTTGACTGAGAAGGAAAGGTCGTTGGGCACACTGAACGATCAAGGGAATTGAGAACAGAAAAACTGATCTTCAAAAATTCCATGAGTGTCAAAAATTCCATGAGTCCATGAGTGTCTCTATTCTCCGAAAACTAATGGGTGACCTGGATCCCGAAAATAGCAGGCTGTAATCTAATACCGATGTATCTGAAAGATCCCACACATCCCAAGATTCTGTTTCATCCCAGCCTGACTCATATGAAATACCTGCTCAAGCCCAACCAATATGCAACCTAAACTGAACCAACCTGCCAACCTAAACCTGTCTGCCAACTGAAAGCAGAGCCTCACAGACCCAGTCTTAAATTGAATTGATTGGAGAGCATGTTGAGCTCTCAATAAAAAAAATAACCTGAACCAAACAGGCTCTAACACTATGGCGGAACTGCCTCCTGTTCTTCCTTGCTACCATCTCCTCTCTCGACACAACGCAACACCTTTGCACCTTCCAACTCTTATCCACTGCATTCATGACTCGGCTTACTTTTTCATAATAGATTGAATGTCATTTCAAAAATCTCCGGAGCGTTTAAATGGTACCACTTGGTACTACTACAGGTACCACTTGGTTCGACTCCATCACACTAATAAATGGATTGCCTCTGACATCCATGGAAATCCTCTCGGTTCTACGAGCCAACACTTGTAGCTTGTGGTTTGGGCAGCTTGTGGATTGCTGCCTAGCTATTGGCAGTCGCAACCCAGATGTCGCATTACAAAATGTTTGGAAGTAATCAAAATATGTGTTTGGTTCGGACATAGGAATGGAAACCGCTCTAACTCCTCCGATCATCAACTTCTCAGGAATCGCAAGTACTCACAAGACACAGAAACTAGGAGAATTGTTGAGTTTTTGCAAGAAAATATGTACAGCAAACCTTCTTGTCCTGCAGCTTGCAAAGATACAAAGAAGGAACTGGAATCAGAAAAATATGGCTAAAGCTTCCACCAGCCATCCAGAATAGCTATTTGAAACCTTTGTCGGATTTCTCAAGAAAATTGGAATATATACATTAACCCTCCTTATGAAATGCCATCAAATGAAGGCACCATAGATAAAAAGTCCGAAATGTTGTGGTTTATGCTACGAAAAACGAAACAGAACGCAGAACAACAACTCATAACCTTCGTACGGTAGAATTGTGCGTACTTGAACCATTTTGCTTCTCATGTCTTGAATGATTGCAAGTTTTGTACCGACCATCCGGTCTATATATTTCTTTGAGTTACCCTCGCAACTAATTTTCTAGGAACGTCGCTATCCTAGTACAATTTAGCGCAGCTACCCATCAACTCAAGCTTCCTACTTTTATCCACGACATTTTATTCATTAGCATTTATACGGACCAGCTGTGATCCAAATATCGTTGAATATAAGTTAGCAATGTATCCCTAATATTAGCACGGACTTTGTCTGATAAATTATTGAGGGATGCCAGTTTTTCACACTCATTTACATAACTATTTCAGCTTATGTAAGGTGGATCCATCTTTGCTGCTGTTTTAGGTAAGGAACGTCAATTTGCTCTGGAAAAATGCGCACTTTTTGGTAGAGAAACGAAGATAGTTTCGTCTCTCTTCACCTACTGAACCTTACTCCCTTCGTGAAACGTAGACTCCTATTGCGTCATCTTGAACTATTATTTCATCTTTTGTACTATTTTGAACAAGGTTGCGATTTCTTAGCCCATAATGCCCAACGTGACATTCGGCGCGAGATAGCTTAGCAGCTGAAGCGCTAGTAATCATAGGGTCACTAAACTAACTAACTAACTTATTACTATTCTCTTTGAATGTTATAGTATTATTATTGATGCTTATACCAACAATATCTGAAAAATGCACTAACGCCCAATCAGTTTTGAATCATCGCTTTTATATCTCTTTATAATGTTAAGCACGCTCGGGTTCGTCAATTCTCACAACCACTACAATAGCAGCACAATATCATTAAATATCCAATAGGTTTATGAATTATTTTAGCTCCTACTAAGAGATGACATAAAGTGTTCGCTTTTTAAAGTTTTTTTTAGCGCATTTTCTCATTTATGAGAAAAAAGGCGCTATTGTGCTCGTCATGTCTATCCGTCTGTCCGTGACTTCACGTTTGCGTCGACGAGAAAATTTGCTCTCTGTCACTCACGGCAGTGAGTACTGAGTTATATATATTTTTTTGTATCGTGAAAACTATTTTGACGAAGCCTTCACTGAGGCTTAGTCTATCAAGTCCTTGAGACTTCCTGGTGCAAGGCCACTCTGATGCGGCACCTTCGTCGTCTACCGTCCCTAAGCCGTCGATAGACAGGTCGCCCGTCATTAAGGCCCGAAGTAAATGTTGCATAAAAATACCGCGCAACTGCCCACTCTTGGACCAGCTGATGCAAAATGCTGCTCCTTGCTACTTACTGAGGGTGGTGCGGGATAAGTGAATGATCCGGAATTGTGCTCAAGAAATCAACTAGTAGTTGCTTGAATTTCTCAGGTGAACTGCCCATCCCCCTCTCAGTTCCTTCAACAAGGCGTTGAACAGCCTCAGATAGGCCACGGAATGATCCGTCACGAAGAATCTGAAGCCTGGCCACAGCTCGGTTGTTCAATGGAGGTATTTTGCACTGTCTTCCCCTCATTTTATTGTGGCATGTCACTATCATGGACCCAGAACTTAGTGCTGTTGAATTGAATATTATGAGCCAGACCCGAAATGTAGATTGTCGACAAGTCATCTTGTAACCTCTTGCTGGCCGTCTGTGATCTGCATTATTATTTTTGTATTGCTCGCAAATGACATTATATATTCGTGAAAAAGTTCGGAGTCGGTGATGGGGATGAGGATCAGTTCAAGCACCGAGCCTGAGTCACGCCACTTCTCACTCTCGCTTCTCCCGATGTCGCAAGGTTGAACTATATATGATATCTACTAGTTCAACCATGCGATTTCGTGTCTCTAATTGCCACAGCACGTACTTTGTCCGCGAGGAAGTTGTGGATCCATGCAAACATATCACAGGCTTCATACTACCCCCAGTTGCTTGAGCTTTCTGAATAGCAACCCGTGACCGACTTGGTCAAAAGCTTCCGCAGTGTGTTACAACTATGAAATAAGTCAGTTGTGTTTTTAGCGCATTTTCTCATTTATGGATAAAATGCACTATTGTGCTCGCCATGTCCGTCCGTCCGTCTGTCTGTCCGTCTGTTCGTGACCTCAAGTTTTTTCGTCGACGAGAAAATGCGCTCTCTGTCACTCACTGCAGTGAGTACTGAGTTATATTTTTTAATCATTCACCTAAGTCATGAAACTGATTTGATATGAATTTTTCATTGAAAATGAACTAATGACTTACAATACGTTTAGTATGTATATACTATAATTTACATCTATGGTTGTGTGCTGACAGCGTTACTTCTAATTAAACCATTTTCTTCGGAGAAGGAAAATTATTTATTTTCTATTTAAAGGCTGGACATCGCTACTTAGCTGAGCCAGTTGCTTTAGCAAGAATTTTGAAACGAATCTCAGTGTAGATCAGACTGTGTAGCCGTATGGAGCGCGCGTTCTCCTGATCGATGATGGAGCTCTCTTCGTTCGGTGAACGTGTTTACGCCGCAGAGTGCATATTAAAAAAACGTCAAAGACGGGTGCGTTATTATCAAGTGTTGAAATAAATCATTTCTGTAAACCAGATGTGATAAATAAAGTGTCGAAATCTTTCCCTCTTGCACTATATTAGGGAAGTTTTCTGCGCGGAGCTCAAATCTTGGTCACGGAATACGTTATAGTTTCTCTCTGATTTCATGGTATGATGGTTCAAATGTTATTTTTTTATTTCAGGGTCGCTTGGAATATCTGGTGAAATGGAAGGGATGGTCCAGCAAGTAAGTAATTATTCATGATTTTAAAATTTTAATTTTTCAAGTGCCAGAGCCAGTGCTTGCTACTTGCTAGTCCAATAGTTTGTATATGTAGCTAGTTGGTTGCTAGCTTGCTAGCCTAGGACGGTGACCAGGTATATTTTGACTATATGGATCATGAGTTAGAATTGATTTTCAGGAGTTTTTGCAACGCCTTTGAAAATTAATATGGTTGAAGAAGATTAAATGCCAAAACAAAACTGTAATGATTTTAAAAATAAAAATTTTTCAGTAGAGTACTTTACCGGTATGGCGGTATAGTACAAAATATGAGATGAGGTTTGATATTCAACTTTCAATAGCCAACACAACAGGCACCAATGTCAATGGCTGATTTGAAAAGAGAATCATTTACTAAGAAAAATGTGGCTGCAAACTAATGCTGAATATAAAATCATAGGTTAAAACCATCATCTAATCTATTTTTCTCAAAAATTTAAATGAAAATTTGCTGTTTTGTCTAATTTCTATTGTTAAAATTAGGCAAAAGCCGCAAAGTCCCAAGCTAATGAGCCAAGGGCCTGTGATAAATATCTAAGTTCCAAGCTCTACCTGGAGGCTTCAGGCTTGGAGCCTGGATCAGATCAGTTGGGTGTAAATATATATATATGCTGTATATACTTGTGTAGTGTGTACTGTCAATCAAAATAAAAATTTCCTGACTCACAAATGGAAGTTCCTCCAAAGTGAATTTTAATCAATTTGGAATCTTGCATCTCTATCAGTATCTATATCATGCACTTCTGTTAACAATTTTATTGGAGATGACTCTTCTAGGCCCAGCAGTTTAGCTGTCTAGCTGCTCCAAAAAGGGTAGGAAATCTTTAGTTGTGGCTTGGATGGTAGTTAGTATATTCCATGCCTGCTGTGAAAAAGACATTAGTGCTCAGCAGATATATATGGCTTACTATTGTATGCTAAGCTTCAGGTCAGGTGCTGCTTGTCAATATAAACCATACAATACTCATCAGAACTAACATTTTTAGGATGTGACCAGGGATTACCAGTTCTGGTAGCATAAAATTATTTACAAAATTGCTCTGATATTGCTGGATATTTGTTGTGCTGTTTTGTTTTGAAATATTTTCTTCAGTCATATGCATCAAAATGCGTTTATGATAGGCATTATAGTATTCATATATTCAGGGTGCATACTGGTCATGGAAAACCTGGAAAGTCATGTACCACAAGTCTATAAAATTACAAGTTGTATATGAGTCTGGAAAATTACTCATATATGACAGGTTCCAGACTGTTATACAACTCGTATTTTTCCCGACTTGTACACAACTTTCCAGGTTTTCCAGGACCGTTACGCACCCTGAATATTAAGGGCCTCAAGTTATGGTCAAGTTTCACTTGAAACCTCTTCTCATGTCAAGGGGCTCCAGATATTGCAATTTTGTTTTTGACATGTGTTTTGGGAAAAATTATTTGAAGAATATATAATGTATGCATGTTATACTAGCTTTATGGTTTGTTGCTGCAAATGTAGCATGGTATGTGAAATGATGCCAATATAGGACAATCATACACACTGTTGATTAATAAATATTCATGTCCTGATGTTTATATTGTTAACAATTCTTTGTCATCTTGAATGTGGACATATTGCAAAAAAATTTGCCTCCTGCTTACCTAAATTGTTGAAATGATGTTCATTATTGGTCAGTTAGTATCTCTTGTCCTAGTCAAAAAACAATGACCTACCAAATAACAGACTATTGTGATAGAAGGTTGAAGCCAAGATTATCTGAAAAATGTTGACCCTATTTTGATTTTAGTGTTATCATTGCCACATGCTTGTAATAGTTTTATCTCATCTCTCTAATAAGAGGTTAGAAACATTTAGCTCTGGTGGCAAATTTTGATTGCAATGACAAATTTGGAGGTACACCAGACTCATTATGGAAACTGTCTTTGAAATGTTGTTCATGATATATATAAGATATGAATGTTAAAATTGAATCAAGTTCAAGCTAATTATTATGAATGTTACTGACACATCATTTATAAATTAATAATTATTGAGTTCCACAATAATATTAAAAGTGACTAGTGTGTAAGTCAGTATATTTAACTGGGCTATCAGTATGTCAGGCATTGGCCTTAGTCAGCTGATTTGCTACTGTGGGTTTATTTTATGTCATTCATTCATTTGGTTAAACATTATATCATAACATAAACATTTTATGTCATTATGTCATTTGGTTAAACATTATATCATAACATAAACATTTTATGTCATTCATTCATTTGTTAAACATTATGTCATGACATAAACATTTTATGTCATTATGTCATTTGGTTAAACTTGCTAGTACATACCAGCTCAGACATTCAGTGCAAGTCTGATTCAACCTGATGTCCAAAGCTTATTCTTCAAAGCAAAAGTCACTTCAGTGCTGGTGAAAGTTCATGTATAAAGCTTTGCTTTCAGCTCCATCCAATTTTGAAGTAGTAGAGTGTGTGTTTGATATGAAGCTTGCTGGTAGCTGCACCATTTGACATGGTATGCAGACAATTTTTAAGGCAATGGAAGGCAGCCAATAATATGAAATTTTCTAATTTGCTGAGCTGAAAGTGTGCAACAGCAAGATACTATTTGTATGTTCAAGACTTTCCAATACAGAAGACTTCTTTGTGTCTGGCATAGCAAAACTTCAATACTTTGGAGAACTCAAAATGGAAGAAATATACTTAATTTCATTTATTTATTTATAAGTTTTTATTGGCTAATGAAAATTCATTCATACTTACATTGAAATTTGATGCTTATTTCTTTGCCTAAAATTATTTTTTCTTCTGATAATTATACTTTTAATTCAAAGGTTATCTAAAAATGACCTATTGATATAACCTGCATTACTACCTATAATACCTATATATTATATAATTACTTATATTATCACTCTGCTTATGGTATGGTATATCGCAAGTTCACAAGAAATTTAAAAGCAAAAAAATGCCAAGCAAATTCACTATATTGATATTGAAAACATTTCATTTTTAAATTGTCAAACTGATGAAGGAGCTGGACTCCAAAATATTTTTGATATTGATATGGTTTATTTGCTAGGTGTTTTCTTCACTTTTAAATTCCTCATCATATAATATATACATGTTTATATGCAGTTTATAATTATATATCTTATATTTTCCTCAGACACAACACATGGGAGCCAAGTGAAAACATTTTAGATGGAAGATTGCTGGAAGCTTTTGAGGAGAGGTGAGTTGATCTGCTTATGTGCAGTCCTTACATTTCATACCGGTACTCATTATTCATACCGGTACTCATTATTCATACTCAATATTCATACCTACTCATTATTCATACCGGTACTCATTATTCATACCTACTCATTATTCATACCTACTCATTATTCATACCTACTCATTATTCATACCTACTCATTATTCATACCTACTCATTATTCATACTCATGTCTCATGCATTACCTCTTTAAACCACCGGCTGAATTATTCATACTCATGTCTCATGCATTCACCTCTTAATTAAGAATTGATCGTGTGGTAGTGCCTGGAAGCATGTATGTCCTCTCACTCTTTGAGCTAACGCAGTCGCTTCTTATCTTGATGATAACACTGCATCATCATTATGTTCAGTGATTTACTTCTGATAGAATTATATATCTTATATTTTCCTCAGACACAACACATGGGAGCCAAGTGAAAACATTTTAGATGGCAGATTGCTGGAAGCTTTTGAGGAGAGGTGAGTTCATCTTCTAATGTGCAGTCCTTACATGTAAAAAATAAATATTTTTTCTAACTGTACTACTTAAATTGAACAGATTTAAAAAAAATAAAAATGGTTCTTTCCACTTTTTGTTGTTTTGTATTTCCAAGATTCTGTTAACATGCAAAATAAACAACACATACCTATTCATAATATATTATATTGGTCCATTCCCTAAATATGTAAATGCGTATAAACAAGTGTTTCCCAATTCATTCTTGGTTCTTCATTCCCAAAAGTTTCAGATTTTTCATTACTTTCATAGATCGATTGGACACAGAAGATATTACTTAATTCATCCTGTTAATTCAGAATAGCAATGAAAATAACACAAGGTATTTCCATATTATAGTCAGCGTGATGGTGTTGCTAGTGCCCCCAGCAGCACCACCACCCTCAACACCACCACCACCAGCGCCGCCGGGGGCAGCAAGAGGGGCCCCAAACCTAAACACAGAAGTCACCACCGGGTGAGTTATTCATACTCATTATTCATACTCAATATTCATACCTACTCATTATTCATACTCATGTCTCATGCATTACCTCTTAAAACCACCTGCCGAGTTATTCATACTCGTGTCTCATGCATTACCTCTTAATTAAGAATTAATCGTGTGGTAGTGCTGGGAAGCAAATATGTCCTCTCACTCTTTGAGCTAACGCAGTCGCTTCTTATCTTGATGATAACACTGCATCATCATTATGTTCAGTGATTTACTTCTGATAGAATAATTTTTTTACGTTATCCTGGACAAATATTACACACAGTGTAGCATCATACTGTACACATGCTGTGCAGCAGCATACTGTACACATGCTGTGCAGCAGCATACTGTACACATGCTGTGCAGCAGCATACTGTACACATGCTGTGCAGCATCATACTGTACACATGCTGTGCAGTAGCAGCATACTGTATACATGCTGTGCAGCAGCATACTGTACCATGCTGTGCAGCAGCATACTGTACCATGCTGTGCAGCAGCATACTGTACACATGCTGTGTAGCAGCAGTACACTCAATGTAATGAATAAGTTAGGTTAGCAGCAGTGGAGTGAGGGCGGGGTGCGAGTTTCTAGCTTTAGGCCTCAGTGTTGCGGCTACACCCCGAGCTCGTTGCCATCATTGGCCGGAACTGATGGAGCTACGGAACTTCCGACCCTTGCTCTTGTGTCGCTCCCATACCCTACACTGCCTACAGTCGCCTGCACAACTTCCTTTTCGCTCTCTTCTCGCCAGATTTAGTATAGTATAGTAGTGTCGGCGATGAAGAACTAAGCCCAATGGCCTGTTACCGATTCTTGTACTTTTCGTGACTTGTTTGCGTAAAGACTAAAAACCTGTCTTTTGATCAGATATTTTCGAAGTTGACGTTGGTTTGTTTCGATATTTTTGAAGCGCCATGTCGCAGACGAGAAACCGTGTCACCTACCGTATTATCGTGCCGTTCTATCGCCTGGAAGGAAGAATGGATGCGATCATTGACACTTATGGAGTTATGGTAATAGGGAGATCGGGCGACGTGCATTTGAAGTTGAAAAGAGACTTTTGCTCAATGATGTGCGGGGCCGGAATCTATGGCGTTCGGGGAAGCATCCATGATGCAACATATTTGTTACAGATTAACTATTAAGGAATAATACATACAAAAATATTGCACCAAGTACAATCCTCTTAAGATTTATCGACGAATAGGTACTGGATTCAATTGCGCACTTCTTTATTTATGAGGTATCTTCTAGGTATTAAGCTCTTATTTAGGAGGTATTATCAAGGTATTGCGCCTCTATTTAGAAGACATCTTCTAGGCATTACGCCTTTAAAATTCGATGCTTCTTCTTGAAAGCGACGAACTGCCAACTGTAACATTACTGTGCCCAATATTTTGTCCTCTACGATCTACTAGATATGGTTGTGTATATAGGAGGTCGAGTATGGAATTATTTTGATAAGAATAATACTTGGCATGGTGGGTACTGCTTCTGCATATCTGCTTCTGCATATAAACAGCAATTGATCCACTAACCGCCTAAGCTTTGNCGATATAACAAGACACTAGCGCGGTCTTAGGTAGCGGGGAGCGCAGCCGGCGGCGGTGCCTAGACCAGCGCTCGTGCAGTTCGTGGCGCTGGCGGTGCTAAGTTTTTTATTCATCTTGCCGTAGCCTGGTTAGCCAGCGAGGCATACGCTGAGCAACGCGTGTGCCGGAGGCTGGCTTTAAATCAGCCTCTTACACTCGATCCATGTTCCTAATGAAATAAACTATATATGAACGGCTATAATGATAGGTGAACATAATAATGTTTTCAATCAAATTTTAGCAATAAAACTCCTTTCGTGCATGCTGATGGGCATATCGGGAATGTAGTGTAGTTGATGATGTTGCCATTTTTATTGATAGTCCTGCATTATTCAACGTTATCATCATAACACGTATATTATGTGACGAAATCATCACCTAGTAATTATTCAACAGTCTGTCTCAGAACGATCAATTGTCAATATCTGTTATTGGTCTTGCTGACTTCATCTAGCGCATAGGTCAATACATTGCTGTACAAGTAATAAAGTACACACGTTTTCAAGTACATTGCTGGGGTATAGCTAATGCTTGATCATGGGTATGATGTGCGCATGGTGCGCTGATGTGCTCACGATACGCAGATGTGTGCACGGTACGCTGATGTGTTGAGATGGTGCGCATGGCCCATGTTGGGGGTGTTGAGTGGGGGTGTTGAGAGGGCGCGTGTTGGGGGTGTTGAGAGGGCGCGTGTTGGGGGTGTTGAGAGGGCGCGTGTTGGGNGTTCGATAATGAGTTGTTCGATATCACAGTTTGTTCGATAATGAGTTGTTCGATATCACAGTTTGTTCGATAATGAGTTGTTCGATATCACAGTTTGTTCGATAATGAGTTGTTCGATATCACAGTTTGTTCGATAATGAGTTGTTCGATATCACAGTTTGTTCGATAATGAGTTGTTCGATATCACAGTTTGTTCGATAATGAGTTGTTCGATATCACAGTTTGTTCGATAATGAGTTGTTCGATATCACAGTTTGTTCGATAATGAGTTGTTCGATATCACAGTTTGTTCGATAATGAGTTGTTCGATATCACAGTTTGTTCGATAATGAGTTGTTCGATATCACAGTTTGTTCGATAATGAGTTGTTCGATATCACAGTTTGTTCGATAATGAGTTGTTCGATATCACAGTTTGTTCGATAATGAGTTGTTCGATATCACAGTTTGTTCGATAATGAGTTGTTCGATATCACAGTTTGTTCGATAATGAGTTGTTCGATATCACAGTTTGTTCGATAATGAGTTGTTCGATATCACAGTTTGTTCGATAATGAGTTGTTCGATATCATAGTTTGTTCGATAATGAGTTGTTCGATATCACAGTTTGTTCGATAATGAGTTGTTCGATAATGAGTTGTTAGATATCACATTTTGTTCGATAATGAGTTGTTTATCGAATTTGTTCTTTGTCAAGTTGGCTAGCAAAATTCTCGAATCTCGATTAGATTTGAGTTTTGATTCTTGAACTGGATTTCAGTGAACGTTACTTGTTTGCCAGTAAGAATGACCTAATACGTCGTTTTTTACCTAATTAACTGTGGTCTTGGGTTCCTATTTACGTAGCCTATATACCTAAGAAGAGCTTCCCGAGCTCTAGTTACCTGTGCTGAACGCGCGCTGCCCGGCTGAGGGCGACAGCTGGCAGTGCACATGCGTACTCCCACGACGCTCACGTCACCTGATGCCGGGAGCTGCAGGTGGCGGGCGCTGCTACTCTAGCTTTATAATGTCAGCACCGCTTGTCGTCTGCTGCATGGTAACGTTGATGTAGTCTTGTAGAGGCCAGTTCTGATAATGTCATTTCGTCTGCTGGCTGCTAACATTGCTGTTGTGGTGCCGGTAGCGTTGCTGTAGTCTTGGAGAGGCCTGTGCTGCTATATGCTGTGCTGATAATGTCATGTCTGATGGCTGTATGTAACGTCTGCTAACATTGCTGTATGTAACGCCGGTAGCGTTGATGTAGTCTTGTAGAGGCCTGTGCTGCTATGTTGTACTGATAATATCATGTCTGATGGCTGCTAACATCGCTGTAGTGTTGCCAATAGCGTTGCTGAGGACCTGGAGAAGCCAGTGCTGCTATGCTGTGCTGATTAAGTCATGGTTGCTGAGGGTATACAGGCGTTACAGCTCATATTAATGCTGCCAATGACATGAGTGGTGCTAATGCCGAGCTGTCACTGTTGATGATCGCGTATTCATGAGTTTCCACGAAGTCGTTCCATATCAACTCTCTGGGATATCCATTATATAAATATATCCCAATTAGTTTTTTTCATTTGACTGAATTCTAATTTGGATTATTTTGGATTGCCTGCTTTCACTTTCTTTGAACTCTTCTCATTAATTCGTACTGCAAGATCTTGTTATAGTCTGACATTCTCTCAATTTCTCCTACATCGGCCATGATCCAAGCTCGTCTCCAAAAACGAAGAAATTCGAAGAATTCCTCCCCGCTCTAGATGTTTGCAGCGCTTATGTACTTTTTACGTCTTGTTATTTTAATTACATACCAGTCGAACTATCAGTTCAATGAACGCTGGTAACATTCAATACCAACCAAGGCCTTGATTTATTTTCCCGCCAAAGTACATCGATGCTCTGATCCTTGCCTGGTTTCTCTGATTGTTGAACTTGGCGCTCTGGATGTTGAATTTAATGCTCTAATTGGTTGGGTGAATTTGTGCTCTGACCCTTACTGGGGTTCTCTGATTGTTGAATTTTGTGCTCTAATTGGATGGGTGAATTTGTGCTATGATCCTTGCTAGGGTGTCCACGGTGGGTGAGAGGCATTCAATATTGGGATGTCTTTGCAACGCTACTCACACCCAACTTACTTTCGGATGTGTTTAATTATTTTCTTTCAAGTATCGTGCTTCAGCAAGAACGCTTGTATACTTGAATGAACTTTCATATTTATGCAGCGGGGCCCTAGAGCTTGTTTTTTATGCTGGGCTGTGTGGCTTATGTGATTTTTGTTGCGTTGTTAATTTCAAATGATTGGTCAATTGTGAGCTGAAGCGCGGCCCGAGACGATTGTACCGTCGAGGGGTCAGGTGCGTTCACTTTGTCGCTTCCCTCATAGTTTAGAATTTTTTTTTTTTTGCTTCATCGCTTTTGTTGCATTTGTTGCAATTAATCTGAAGCTGGCAAGTAATATCCCATGTTTGCTTATTTTATTGGTATTATTTTTTTTTCTGACGGAAAGCTTACTCTTGAGTATCAATCAATACTAACTCGCATTATCAATCTTTTTATGTGTCAATGCATACCTGCGGTATGCAGTGCTGAAATTATATTATACCAAGGTGCGAAGATCCTTCGGTTTTGAAGATATACTTTTGGAAAAGGGGTAGTGATCTTCATATATTGGCAATGGTTTCT